CAAAAACATTTGTACCCCCTTAATATTTTGAAATAAAAATTATTAGATAAAAAATAAAAAAAAATTTAAAAGTTTGTTAATTACTATAATTGTATAGTGATAAAAGAGCAAACAATTTTGCATGCTGTACAAATAGATAAAGGTGAATAAATATTAATACATCATATAAATGCATGCAGGGATATAAATATATTGTTACATGCAAAATCTTCAAAATTGATGTTTTGAAAAATATTTCTCATCTATATTTATTTTGAAGAGTATAAACAAAATAATTGTTACAATTAAAGACAGAATTGGCTTGAGGGTGTCAAAGCTTGACATCTCGATGTAATCTACCCTTTATTATTCATAAGGAGGCCAGCTTTTAGAACTCAGCCTCACAAGAACCAAAGAGTGAACATTTTTAATATCTTAACAGTTGTGCCAGAAAGTATAAACCAAATGAGATTTCGGACATTTTTGCATACTGATACTTTTTACCTAATAGTGTTTATAGTAACAGATTTTCCATTATATTGAATGTTACGGAGTCTCATTTTAAAACAAAATAAAAGCAAAAACAAATCCTGCAAAAAATTTATGCCAATCAATTGCAATTTACTTTGGGGCAGTTAGGAAATTTATTATTTTATTTTTCCATGAGTGGCTAAGGTGAATATTCACTTTTCTGAATTATTGAATTTTTTATGTTATACTTACATACCATTGAATTACTTTTATCATAATTGGTTTATTATGTGTACTATGGCCTTTGGGTTTCTTACATTTTTCACCTAGATGTCATTCATCTTTTCTGAAGGCTACTTTTAAAATACATCAGATCTCACCTTGACCTTTTGACTTAGGACTGGTTTTATTTAATAGGATAAGTTGATTGCATTTTTGTAAAAAAGTAAATAAATAAATAAATTGTTATTTGGTTATTGGAAACATAGCAATGATGTATTACCCTATTCTGTTGACCTAAACGCATTTCAGAGTGATGAAATCCCATTGACACAATTGTCAAAACAAGAGTAATGAATGTAACAAAATCATTCCCTGGAAATATTTGGCATAATTGCTGACATGGAAATACAGTTACTACACAGTCTTTTGGTGGTTCTTGCAAAGGCTTAAGGGTTTAAATCATCAAAGGAGGTTAAAAATGTGGTTGTGAGCCAGGTGTGGTAGCACGTGCCTGTAGTCCCAGCTACCTGGGGGGGCTGAGGCAGGAGGATCACTTGAGCCGAGAAGTTTGAGGCCAGCCTGGGCAACACAGTGAGACCTCATCTCTAATAAAATTTTAAAAATTTAAAAAAATTAAAAATGTGACAGTGCCATATCAATAATACATGTAAGGAAGAATGAAATAATTTTTCCATATGATGCCATGGAAGTATATCTATGCAAAATTACATATGTGTTCTTTTTAGACAATTTTGCCCTGAATTGAATTATGCTAAAAACTATTAAAACTTATCCAAAAAAACCACATTCCTTTGACTTCCCTTTAAAATTTATGTTCAAAAGCATATTCTTCCACACTCTACTCAGTAATATTTTCATACCTGCCCCTTTTGTGAAACGTTACTAATAGAAAGTATGTTTGGCAGAGAGGCACGGAAATGATAGTGCAGCATGACTCATGGAAGCTTTAAACCATAGTGCACGGGGAGGTGATGTCATACTGAGAGCACCAGCTCAGGGCTGCAGGGATGCGCCACTGATAGCTGCAGAGTCCTCCCCATTTGCATCCTTCCTATAGCTTTCGACCCTGGGACCACCCTCCTCCCTTCCTGAGATTTTTATTTTTTGGCTTTCTCCATGTCTCTCTCTTGGTCTGGCCATTCTTTCTGGTAGCTTCCTCTTCTGCTGCCCTTCCTCTAAACCCTCAGTGGCACCCTCACCCCAAGTTTAGCCTTGTATTCTCCGAAGAGCCACAAGGTGAAGTAGAAAAGTCACAGCCTTTGGATTCAGACAGAAGTGGTTTTGTAGTCCAGCTGTATTACTCGCTAGCTAGAGTGACTAGAGTCATTGACTTAACCTCTCTTTGTTTCAGTTTCTGCCTCTGTATGAAAGAGATAATGATACTTATAGAACTGGTGTATCACCTGCTATAATACAGACATAAGAGTCTGAGACATAACAGTAGCTTGTTAAATGTTAGTTCTCTTATCTCCTCCAGGTAAAAATTACAATAATTTTATTGACGTATATTTAATTAATTCCGCAGTATTTAGCTATAGCCTCTAGTTGTCTATGATACAAATTTTCAATAGCTCCATAGCCATGTGTTGTAGGTGCTTCAAACACAATGAGGGGTTTAGTTGGGGTGAAGATTCCCCTAAAGGGCTTGGTCCAGCAAACTTAAGTACTCTTTAAATTTCTGTTGATTTTACCACACACAGAAATTTTTTTGTTTTAGAAGCAACTTTAAGCAGGAAGGAACAGGCTATCTTTTTGAGTTGCATGTCTACCTTAACTGACATGATTATTTGGAGATGAAGGATTGTGGTATGTTTTAGACAAGAGACCCAAAAATGCACACATTATGCTCTGCCCGTGAGGTCCCCAAAAGAGACATTTATAGTAGGGACATTGACAAAGCAAGACAAGGTAAAAATCTATTATTAGCTAAAGCTTTGGTCTCAAATCCCAATGCAGAGCTCTATTACACACTGCTGGAAGAGCTGGCAGGCTCCTTTTCCCTAAGCCAGGTTGGTTTGAATGGCCTGGAAGCAAAGTACTCCATTAGGCAGGATCTGTTTCCCTTGAGCCCAAACCAGCGTCAGATATGAACACCGCAATGGAAAGGGGAACAGTGATACAAAACACACATGCAGTAACAAAGAGAAAGGACCCATAGGGAGGGGTTTCCCTGGCATCAAGTACTAGACTGGGCCAACCTACCTGCCTCAGGTCCTGGGCAGGGCCAGAAGCACAGAGCTGAGCTGCCCTGCTCGAGGAGATGGTGGGAAGATGGGAAGAGAGATGGCCAGGTGAAGAAGAGAGAAAAGAGACCACATGTACATACTAACCTCACCAAGTTCCACCTCTGAAGTTACACTCACCGATTAGGACTACATATGACAAAATTATTTCATTAATAAAATTGAAAGATGTGTAATAATTTCAGATATTATGGCCTGATCAGTGTTTTTAACTTTATATTATTTCCATTTGTGTATCCCGATTCATCCTGGGGAGGAGTCAAGTGTGTACCTTTTGGGAGTGGGGTCAGGGAGGAGGCAGGGGTTACCTGTAGAAGGCAAGAATCTTGCATACTGGTTACTGAAACACCTCCTAAAGAGTCTCCATGTCCACTGTCTAGCCTCCCTTAGTCACCCACACCACTGACAAGTTAAAGTCAGACCCATAGATTGGTTGGTGCTCAAGGCCCTTTGCACTCTGGCTCCAGGTGAATGGTGTAGCCTCCCCCCTTGCCATACCCCTTTCCCCCATCGAGACCATGGCTGTGGCTTCACTGCTCTACCAGTGGGCACACGACACCCACTTTGCCACTGCCATTCCTTTGCTCCCATTCTTCCTTCTCCCCTGAATGCCCTTCCTACCCACCTTTAAGGTTCAATTCAATTGTTATCTCCCTTTGAAAGCCATCCTTGATGCCTCCTTTTAGAATTAACTGTTCCTCCTTCTATGGTCTCACAATGCTCTCTCTATAAATACTGCATTTTATGGTGATGATAGGAAGCATGACATATTTGTATTTTATTCTTTATTCCTTATTTATATATATCCAATGAATTGACAGACATATATTAAATACTCAATGTAAGTTTGTTGAATCGAATTGTTATTGTAGACATAGTTTCAAATTCTTATACACTCCTACATACTTCTAGAGGGTTTCTTAAAGTGGGAATTGAATCTTTATTACTATAAAATTGGTTTCAATTCCAAGGAAAAATCACTAACCTCCACAATATTAATATTTTGTCCAGATAAAATATCATTGCACTAGGTACAATAAAAATATTTAAAGGTGGTTTTACATGTAATTAAGAAGGTTTTTTTGCTATTGAATGGAGAAAATATTTTATAACACATGCATAAACTGAAACAGCTGAGATTATTACACTTTTTTATTTTATTAGTGAAATACTTTTGCAATTCATGGTTGTCCTAATATTTGAGTGCAATCCAGAATTCCTGAATTGACACTTGTTTCTCTTCTCTGAAGGGTTTTTCAGAGGTTGATAGTATGACTTCTGTTTCCAAAAATCCAAAGTTCAAAAAGACACAAATCCTCCTTTAGAAAATGTTGGGTGTCACTGAATTGGTTGTCTAAAAAATGAAACTTAATTTGCTCGACTGTGATTGTTCTACTCTCCATCCGTGCTGTCCTTTTCTGGCTAATTCTCAGCTGGAATATTTGCAAAGGAAACATTGAGGCTGAGAAATGAAGAGTTGGAGGTCACAGAGCTTGGGACCTGTCCATGGCTGGCCTGTGCATAGCCGCAGTGGAACTTTCTCCTCAGATCTCGACTGTTCCTGTCATCTCTTTGTGACTCTCTTCATGAAAACTTAGGGCCTTTCATACATAGTCCAAAGAATTCCTGTGCTACTAAATAAACAATTTAAACAATAATAATAATAAGCCCACAGCGAGAAAGTATTTTATCCACACTGTACATATATATACACATATATGTACGTATGTTATATATATACACACACACACACATACACATACACACAACAAAAAGCCCTCTATTCCCCTAAACTTAGAAGAGGAATCAGACATGTCTCTTTAGGCTGGGATCCATTAATTGGATGTCCACCAGAATTCTGGTCACCTCTCTGCTGTCACTTTTGGTTGAAGCCAGCAAAGATATGTTTCAGCAAATCTACTCATAATTTGTCTTCCTTGCAGGGCTCTCTCTGTAATTGTGTTTCCCATCAGAGAGTCAGTTGGAGTTAATGTATTGACAATCTTCTGTGATTGATGACAACCAATGTCTTGTTAACATTTCCCCCCACTCTTCAACCCACAGAGCAATGCTAGAAAGACCTTTGGTTTAAAGAATTAAAAGGAAGAACACCTTCAGATAAGAAGACCTGCAAAGGTAAGAGTCTGTCTTCTTAAAATGTTCAAATTAGTAACGAAGAAAATTATATGATGTGATTTATTTAATGATGTGATTATGTAATATTATTGCTATATTTAATACTTTTCAAACCAGACAGTATGATAAAAGACAGAAAAGAGGAACGCAGATGCAGAAACATTAATCTTACTGCTGCCAAAGAGGATGGATCAAATACACAGGGAAGAAAACCAGTCTTTGTGTCCTCTCATAGTAATAAGATTTTTATTTTACTAAATCATGAATCATAAAATCCAGAAAATAGCAGAGTAAAATCACTGCTAGTAAAAAATATGTTTCTGAAGGAACTAAAGATTAAAAATTATAGGGAGTCATTTACAAGGAAAGAATTTTCTTTTTGATTCAATCACATATCAAAATTCTTCTGGATTCATTAATGATTTTTCTTATCTCACAATGAACTCCAAAGAATTAAAAAGTCTGTTTTGAAAGTTTAAATATTACTTTGAAATGTGCTTTCTGCTTTCTAAATCCCTTCCCTACTGCTTCTTAGTTCCCAGCCTCACTGCCCACCCCATTCCTATTTGTGTCATCAGAATTATCAGCTCTTGAACAGACCCTGCCAGGCCTATGGTGCCGTCTGAAAGGCCATCTATTATAGTACGGAACTTGATGAAAAATATCTTACTTGGAGATCTGGAACACAGTTCCAAGAACTATGTCTCAACCAATAAAAGCTTTCTTAAAAAATTATGAGAGCCTGATTGTTGAGACATTTAGTCCTTTACCTCATAGGTTTCGTTTAACAAATAAAGACACTCTCGTGGACTTTAAGAAGATTGTATACAAGATTTTGAGGTAGTAAAATCCTTCGCACAGGTTATCCCTTGTCCTTGAGAATTCTTAGATTGATCCATTGAGGTGTCATTTTGTAATTAAGAGGAAATGATTCATGCCTCAGCTGAATTTGCTTCCATTGTGTTATACTGAAACTGACTTCATAGAACTAGTTCTTATAGTGTTTCAAAATACCATCAGAAATCCCCAAATCAGTAGCCTGGAAACTGAGAATGTTGCTTTGTAAATCAAATAGCACATATTATGTTCTGCTTGAAGAGTCCTTGAAAAGTGAAAATTAGCAAAAAATGGGCAAAATTGATAAGTTAGGTAATTATGACCAAAACCAAAAGAGCCTTAAATTTGTATATAGTTCTCTTTTAATAGGAAGCTTCCTTGGTTAATGCAAAATGACTTATTTTATAAATTTTTGATGTACCCCTCCTCCCTACAAGTGTCCATATTTTGTAAAATAAAGAACACCTGCAAGGTAAAGCTATGTGATAGTAAGACTCCATTCATTCTGCCATGGACATGGAATATGGATATACCAAATTGCAGTTGTTAGAAGTGAGGAATTAGTACTAATGGTGTTAAGGACAGTAGCTTACCAATAAAATACTAGTATCGGTAGTAAGATATGGCAAGTTCTTATCTGGATAATATATTGCGAGAAACCTACGAGAGGTAGAAAGACATTGAGAGCATGAGCTTATGTGTAAAAATGGTGGTTTCTAGTGAACAAGAAAGTAGAGGAAGACAAGGCAAGCAAAGGGGCCACTTCGAGGAAGTGCTTGGTGTCCTTTAAATGTGGCATGGACTAGGGTCCACAGCAGGTAGTTTCTAGCACACTCTCAGGTAGTTCTAAGGGAGTTTTCCTGGCTGGAGGGATTATTTTCTCTTCCTTTCATTGCATGAAAGATATTTGATTTAAAATCTCTGTTCTTTAGAGCAACAAGTAAAGGTTCAATTCTGCCTTTCTCAGTACATACTTCCTGATCTTTTTAGCTAGCTTTTTAAGTGTCTCAAGAGAACTTGTTAGGTGTATTACAGCTTCTAAAATATCTCATTTTATCCTGGTGAATGGTTTAATCTGGTCGAATAAATACTGAGTGTCTTCCTCATTTCTTTCCCTCCCCTCACAAAGACTGCTGCTGAAACTTCCCGAAATTCTAAGGCTCCACTGGTATTCAGAATGTCCCCAGGTTATTCAAGCATTCGGCCTCTGCCATTAGAATGAGTACGTTTTTTGTAGCTACTTAAGAGTTTTCAGTAGTGTTTCCCACATTCACTGATGTGCTGTAGTGTTTGAAAGATGTGAGTAGCACGAATTGTGGACTGTGGTTTGCAAATCCCCATGCCTGTCCCACATCCCTTCCCTTTGGAAAGTGCTACCTCCACCAGTGTCCAGTGTCACGCATAAAAACTGTGCTCACATTTGTCATTAGCCCTAATGTATAAATTCTCTCCGTGGAAAATCTGCCTTCTACCTGGGTTGAAAACCTTGGGCAAAAATGTGGGGCTGCTAATGGTGGCATTTCAGGAATCAACCAGAGCGAGACGAGAGGGTAGAGGATTCCTCTGAAATCACTTGGGTAACTGGTTTTCTGCTCTGGCTACCTTGGTGTGAGTTTGGTGCTGGTAGTAACCATAAAAAGTCTGCAGTAAAATAATGCCCATACTACGCCTTAAAGCATGTTACCTTTTGACAAGCTATGTAGAAAGAAAAATCTGACCGGTTCTTGGAGTTATTTACTGATTGCTTTTGGTTGATGACTTGAAAATTGTTCTTTCCCTTCGATTTAGAGTACTAAGCTGTTTAAGTTATGCATACATCTTAGGAGAATGGTAATTATACTCTGAATAGATAACAGTAAATCGAATAAGAGTAAAAAGGCTTTATCTTATAATTAAGTTGATTTGTAAATGTGAACCAACATTTTATGACAAATTGTAATACAGTTTTTAGTGCTATTTAACAGTAAAGAGACCCATCAAAATTTTGTCCTATAGGATCATTTTAAAGCTAGGTTTTATCTCATGTTACCTGACACCAGTCAAATCCAGAAGACACACAGATAGCATCCACGGAAAGAATATTTGCCCCACGAAACTCAAGATGAAAAGCTCATGAATAAAGCAGTTCCCCTGGGAAGCCTAGAACTTACAAAAACCAAGACAGGGATCTAACTCTAAGTAAAGGATATTCACGTCTTTATCATTTTATGCCAGTTAAGTTTATTCAATACTTAGTCATCTGGAAAACCAAAACAATCTTTTCTTATATTTATTAGCTTCCTCCCTCTTCACCCTGATGTGATCATGAAGGCAAGATCCAGATTTCAAAGAAGTGACAACATCTCTTGAAACGTTAGCATACTTGAACAATCCCTCTATTGTGATTGTGGCAAACTTCACAGGATGGCTACTCACCACCAAAGTGCAGCATTCCTGGAAGCTGAATGACAGTGCAGTGAGGAACATTCTGTTCTTCCATCCCAGGGGACTGCCCAGCCTTCCATTTCTGTGTGGAGTCTGAGCAAAGCTCTGTGTCCTGGGGTCAGATGGAAGCATACTAAATCTCACGTACAGCATTTCTGTAGAGAGGTCAAATTATAATACATTTCCTGATGTTTATCTCCAAGTTATAATGGCATCCATGATTGAGATGCCTTTATTGATTAAGCTTTCTCTGCCCTTTGCATCCTGTCCTCATTATTCTTATGGGACACAACCATTTTTCTCTGGACAGCTCACCGTGTACCCTTCCCATGACTCCTACTACTCTGGCCTGCTCAGTTTGGTAGCTGTTTCTGAAGGCTCAGAGAGAGCAGTTGAAAAATGTCTGAAAAAAGACATCAGCATTCTCTCTTGGGAGCTAGTCAGGTGGAGGATGACATAATGGTGAGAGAGTGATGAGAGAGGTGGCATTATGTTTCTGTGACAACAGTGATTAGTGCTGGTAGTCAGTGGTTGAGATCCTGCAACTTTCATGTGCAGGATTCCTCTCTTCCCACTGTAGTCTAGTTGGAAGAAATATCTGCTTTGAAATTGGAAGGAAAAAATTGCCTGAGTCACTCCAGTACAGGAAATGTGTAGCAGCTTAGCATTTATGCACCAAAGGGCTGATGCAGTGACCTTTGCAAATAGCTCTTTGCATATACTTACCCGCTCAGATTTGCTTTCCCTGCTGTACTTTTGGCTTGTAGTCTTTAACTATTTTCTAGGGTTACTAGAATTGGAGCTGGTGATGAGATAAGTCTAGATTAGCAGACCATGGATTTTAATTTTGAGGTTCACTGAAATGACTAAAACAGTGCCACCAGACAAAGAGTGGGAGCCACTGCTCTGTGTCCTTGTTCCCAGCAAGTACAACCTCTATTAAAATATCTTTGCCTTCTGAGAGGAAGCTTATTTCAAATGATTGTCATAAATGGCATCTCTTATTCCTTCAGAATTAGGATCTTTATAGTCATCAGTCTGATCACCAAAATCATTATTAATTGAACTTTAATTGGGCACCATAACCTACTGAGTAAGATACTCCAAGTATGGCTCTTGGAAGAGACACACAGCAGGAATGCTGGACAGCCCCATGCATTCAGGTCCATGTATACTCTGTGCACACAAAGGTAGACATGTGTGCCTAGGTTCTGTGGGTATTTTATCATGTCCCTTCCTTCCAGCATCTGGACATTTCATCCCTGGCTGCTTTTAGAGGGAGTCAATTCCTGACAGGAGGGTTATCTAGGGAACTACCCGGGAGGAAAATGAAACCCAGTGTGGAGCAGGAGGCCAGGACCAGGCCCCTGCTGGTAATGCAGTATGTTGCTGTCACAACTGACTGCATACACAAATAGATGCTTGAATTTTTTTTTCCTTTGCTCTGTTTTGTTTTATTTTGTCTTTCACAACAGCATTGGTTTTGTAAGTCAGAGGAAAAAAAATCTCTTGGATGGACTCAAGTTTTCATATCTGCAGAAGGCATTTCTACAGCTTTTGTCAAACTTAGCTGGTCTGTAAAGATTCTTTGTTTCTGGTTGACTGTCACAGAAAGCAAGTTCATAAACTACCCGAATACAGGAGAGAATGATTTCTATTGAAAGAGTCAAGTAGGATATGGTGCATGGAGCCAGTCTTGAAAAGGGTTTTGTTCTTGCAGC